TTATTGCTCCGTAAATGTTACCGGCAAAATGTTCAATTTTATTACGAGTCTTGGGACCGCCTTATGAGTTAATTTTATGTAAATAATCATTTCTCTAGTAAAAATAATGGCGTATAACAATGGAGTAGCTTAAAATAATTCTTTCTTTATTTTCACTAATCGTATATGTTTAATGATAAGTTTAAAGTTATATAAATAGAAACTTTCGCATACCATAAATCTGGACTATATCTATTGGACGTTGTTTAGCAAACGTTTCGAAACGTAAGCGGATATAGAATCACATAATTTAAGATAAGACCCAGCCCTCGATATGGGTGGGGCCACGTGTTGCAAAAAACGTCGGCGACCGACCCTACAAAGATAGAAATTCACCAAGTCCGCCATTACAGAAAATTGGCTACAAAGCAATCCCCTGCACCAAGGATCCCATACTTCGGAATTTGAAATTAGTTTAGCCGAGTTTTTTCATACATCGGCAGGTAGAAATTAAAATTTACTTTCAATCGTTAAAATACGTTTAGGAAAAGCTACACATATACATGAATTATTAGAAACTGTTAAAAATCAACTAACTTTAAAAACCTTTTTTTTGTGGTAAGGCCACACAACAGCTTCGACTGTTGCAAGAATAGGCAGGTCAACCTCATAGAAGACCGACGTGAAGTGGAAGTGTCATATTTCTCCGTTTCGTCTGCTGAGTGAGGTAGCCGGGGCCCACTTTATTAGAAGATGGCAACGAATCTGTAACCCTACGGATGTTGCAAATGTCCATGGGCGTTGGTTGTCACTTACACCAAGTGAAATGCCAGCTCACTTGCCACCTACTCACATAAAAATAAAACAGAAAACAGACTATAATATGCCATTTTCTGTTTGACAAACACTTTTATACATAATTTTATATTTTTTCAAATAATTATATTCGTTTACTTTCCTACTTCTCTTCCCTTATTTATTATCTCTGGTAAGTAGCAAAGTAGCCATAGATGGTATAGTAAACGTTTTAGTTATGTAAAAGCTTTATTTATTAGTAAATCATATTGTATATGGAAAGATAAATATATCAAAATATGTTGATAAAATTTTTCAAAATACATTGAGTTTTCCTTTTTTTTAGATTGAGTCTAGATAAATATAGTACGATATTTATGAAATTAATCTAAGCAACCTAAATACATAGACCCAACTAGAATAATTGCTGTAGTTGTTACTAGAACGAAAAGAAATATCAAATCGTTTCTCCTTCAAAATAGCGTTAAAGAAAAATGTATCAAATACATTACTAGTTACTTTACCAGTCTAAAACATTTTATTATAATGGAAATAGGAGTGAATCGACTTAATCTAAGGCTCTGTTTCAAAGTAAAACAAGAAACAAATAATACGATCAAGGCGGCTAAATAGGTTTTTCTGTGATCTTAGTCCCATCAAAAAGGTTCCATGTGGTACGAAAATGTACACTGAAATTGACCCTGTTCGTGCACCACATAAGGTGCAAATTGGCGTGCATTGAAAAACGCGAAGTTTGATAAAGGGCCTGTCTTATTGTTCATTAAACTTGGATTAAGTTTGCGCGGGATGGAACGAGCTGGCAGGCAGTTAGCGTCACGGGGAAGCAGCACGATGGGGGCACAAGAAACTTTATCAAAGAAACTTTGTCCGCGATAGGAATGTCTTCATCGGATGACTTTGATTTAAATAGCTTGAGACGTAGTAAGAGAATTAGCCTCGCATCCAATTTTACTTTAAACATGGAACAATCATAAACTCGTCTCAAGTTTACGCGGCTATTGAGCTGATTAACAAATTTCGTGATGAAGTTCGACAAAGTCTTACGTCGCAAAGGCTTTAGATTCAGAGACGATAAAAAATGTTAATATATTGGAACATGCTTTTTGGATTGGAACTCTTACATTTTAAACAATCGGAGATTTATAGTTCAGTTAATCAAAGCTATAGTTATGTCAGTCTGTATGGAGAGACCGCTCATCGGAATCAGAAGCTAGTGTAATTAGTTTACAATGTCATGGGTTTGTCTCGTTAAAATATAAGTCCCATAGGTAATCTATTAATTAAAGAAATGTACAAAAATATTTTTTCATCGACATATTTTATAATTATGATTTTTACATATGGATGTAAATATTATTGACTATGCAATATGCATATGCAATGCAATACTAATATGCACATTTGTTACAAATCTATTCGTTCATTTGAAATTGTCTGCTAGTGGTCAGGAGACATAATTGCGGAAACTGAAAGGAGGCTATTCTGATCCTTTAATGATTCCTTGGGCGTCCCGAACAGGTAGCCTGTTATATGAAGGCAAACATATTGTTTGTCAGACCATTAAACGATAAAGGTCATGACATTTATGCAGATTAATCGACATTTATAATAATAAATAACTTATTTAATACTATAATTTCGGGCATGATTCAAGGAACATCCCGACCTTGACAACCGTTACGCACTATTAAATGAAGAAGCTGCAGTAATTAGAAAGCACTTTGGTACAATTTGAACAGTAAGCAATTATGAACTGATACAGAAGCTAATAAACATGGACTGTGTGACGACGTCAAATCACTGAGTCTTTGATATAATATGAAGTGGCTCCCAATTCCGTCAATCTTATTTGCGGTACAGAGAATATCGTGCAAATTCTTGTTCAAGAGGCAAACCCTGGTCGTTCTTGATTGGTGATTGTTGTTTCATTTATCATAACAAACTGACTAGTCCAATAATTATCACATTCTACCTTATATGCGGAAGCACGTACAAATTTAATTTTAATCAATTTTATTACTTTTAAAAATGAACGATGGATCTCTCCGGTGTTATTACTAGAATCCGCTCTAAGTGGATTTATCAGTGAAAAATCATCTAACCCATTTATTTAATTGGCTTAGGAAATATTCTTTCTAAATCAAAATTCTTACTTTCCTAACAACAGACACGTCCGTTCACTCTTAAATTGTTCACAAAGCTCCTCTATCCGCAATGTAATCTTCCAGCCTCCGTGGAGCGATCCGAGATCTACGTGTGTTTGCTTATTGATCGTGCGCCCATTGATCTGGTGTTCCCACCTTTTGTGGCCGCGGCGTGGAAGCCGATGCGATGACTAAGCTATTCCAGTGCGGCCGTGATAGAAGCATTGTGATCGCCTAATTCAATAAAACCACCGGACATTTTTGTCTATTTGCCGGTGCCCTTGTCGGGGCTCCTTACTGTTGTATTAGCGGCTTACGCCTCATGATAGCACCGGTAACGTGACTGCGCGTTCATTGTTCCTGCTGGCCGGTTAGACGATCCTCCGAGTATTGATGGTTTTAATTATGGCTAACAGCGCATTCCTTGTCTTTTCTGCTAATTGTTTTGTTCTGTATATATTTAGTTAACTTTGTTAAGTCTTGGTCTTTATTTAAACAATTACGTAAAACCATGTGAATAAACAGTATATGTTAACTTCTTATTCACATGGTTTTACGTAATTGTTTAAATAATAGACTTGATAAATGAAGGTTGGTAAATGTGTGTAAGTTGTCCATATTTTACTGATCTCATTAATAAAATAAAAAAAATGTGTTTCAAATAAAGGAAATAATAAAAATTTAATTTTCTATATAAATTAAAGAACAATTAAGAATGAAGAAAACAATAGGAATTTACGAAAAAAGGTGAATTCTAAAGAATAGTTTTATAGTATATTAAAAGGGGCATGTGCAAAACAAAGAAAGAATTATTTTTAAAGAAATACAAATTCAATGTTATAACAATGTCTATCAAAATTTAAAAAAGAAACAATTTTAGGTAAATTGCGTACTAAATATTTAAAATGCTAAGCCGCGACAAACAGAGACCATGTTCATTCGATATTATTATTGAAACGGCTCTTTAATCTTCTACGCAATAAGTTCGCGTCGAACTTTATTCTCTTCTACGTGAAGGGAAAAGCTCTTGTGCCAGAAAAAGATAGCTGCAGTCGTTCTGTGACGATTGGAATCCTGAAATCGATGTTTCCGTCTCAGTCGCACGTTATTGGTGGCTTCTAAGTGGGAAAGAGACGATGAGTTTCAAGTGTAAGCGCTTAAAAGATGGAGAAAAAGTCAGTTTAAGCTTTATGGTGTAGATGTAGAGTCGTTATTGCGTTGAAAGTTTTTGTAAAAGAGGCAGTGGAGCAGCTCCGCCTTAAAAATGGAAGGTGGTATGTAAAAATTGATGAACACGTATAGCCAGTTGTTAAAGTGACAGACTGCGCTGGCGTGTTGGGCAGTGTATATTGTCTCAAAATGTTGAGACTTTGCGTGCCTCCGCCACCATTGTTTATTATCAAAAAGTGATAAATCAAATGACTCTGCCGAAATTACGATCGATGAGGCTACTGTGAACTGTTCGCGTGAACTTGCCCGTTTTAACGCTATGTGACGGTGGTACATTACTGGTTAAGTTTTAGACTCATAAGTGGACGTAATACGTGCGATAATTTAGTTAAATATATGAATTGTTCAATTGTGGCGTAAACTCCTGTCCAACTTCCTACCGAAACTACAGTGATACGATTAAACCGTAGAATATGCGATGCGGCAGAGACGTGTGACATATAGGAGGAAGTTTCAATTGATATTGTGACTACAAGGACAGTTACATTTCCTAAATGTACATTGATTGTGCAAATGAGATAAGCAAGTATAATATTATAAATTTAAATGTATAAGAAAATGCATGGGAGAGAATTATGTTAAGATTGTCACAATAAAAGAAGAAAAACTCCCCAGGAAATCGAAAAGAGTAAGCAAGCAAGACAACATCAACGACAAGGAAATATTTATAAGGTAGAACTTTATCAAGACCACAGCTATAATACGGATGTAGTAGAGGAAAATTTCACAAAACGTTCCTGAGTGAGAATGCTCACGTCGAACGACGACTGAGCGTCGGCCGGATTGGTGAGCTACGTGGCACGGTGATGCGAGTCCCCTGCCCCGAGTACGATGAGCTCGTTCCTCATGAACGGCGGCTACCAGCCCCAGCCGGACCCCAAGTTCCCGCCGTCCGAGGAGTACAGCCAGGCGGACTACATACCGCCCGGCGAGTACTACCAGCACCAGCACCTGCAGTACGGCTACCAGCACCAGTACGCTCCGGTGCAGATCGGGGCGGGGTACGGCTACGGGGGCTATTACCATCCGTTGCCGCAGCACCCCCCAGTGGCGCCTCCGCCCCGCCCCCCCGAGGCGTCGCATCCGTCTGACACGGAGCACTACGTGTCTCACGGGGCTGAACCGACACCCGGGCTGGCTGAGCTGGGGCTGCGCCTGGAAAGGCACATAGAAGAGGCCGCCCCTGCTGGCCGGAAGCTGCACGCCCTAGGCCGTGAAGGCTCTCCTGTCTCCGAGTTGGATGATGAGAGACTACTTTTAGATAGCCCACCCGTGGAGGACGACGACTCCTCTATTTGCTCGGATAATACAGATAGAGTTATATATCCATGGATGAAGAAGATCCATGTGGCCGGTGCTTGTAAGTATAACTTATTTTTTTTATTGTACAGAGATGATAGATGGACGGTTGTTTCGTAGAACTTGAGGACAGCAACAACAGAGGTATCATCGGTGTCTCATACAACTAGATATGTTAAATTATAAGTCTCCTTCTTTATGCCAGTGTTCTCTTAGTTCGTGGTACAGGAGAAGATAGTTCATTTCAGCGCTGCAGTAAACAGAGTAAAATAATATGTCAGAAGCATTTTCAGTTGAAATAACTTTTGAAAACTCTCATAATACCGGCATATATGGTCATGATAATGGATTAGAGGACTTGTTTAGGGTTTTTTATGTGAATTACTACATGATATATTTAGGTAAAGAGAGTTAGCAGAATGCTATGACTAGAAGTGAGTATAAAGTATAAATGTGGATGAAAGGTGTGCTAGAGGGTGACCGAGAAAGGTTTAGACGGACTATGTGAAGAATGATATAACAGCTGATATGGGACAACAGCTAATAGAGAAAAGTGGAAGAGAAGGGCTCAACCTAGTCTGGGATAAGGACTGGAGAAAAAAGACACCAAAGAGCATTCTCTTTACTAACATAAAGTTTACTACATTGATTGTATGGTAGTAATGGTTTGGTGTGGTGCAAAGGTTGCTGCGCGTCATAGTTAATTTTTCAGTGACAGCTACCTTAAAATTTAAAACTGCTACGTATCACTCAATAAAACTAAGAACACTACTAATAACGACATTAAATCATTGAATCGATACGATATTAGGAAAACATTTTTTAAGTATTTTCGTCTTATCAATACTTTAAAAATACAGGCACATTAACATTTACGCCTGGCTGAAGTTTCATTATATATTACTGTGAATGTTATTATAAATATTTCATTTGTTCTGTGTCTTATGGTATTACATATGTAAATGTATCGTTACGTGTTTGTATTCAATTTAAAAAATATTAATATACTTATTTAATTACAGTATTAGTACGTTGCCATTGACTTTATTTAAAAATTCCAAATCATCATTTTTTATTTGAAAAAATGGGACAAATATAGAATAAGAAAGATAAAATTTATCCTTTATCTTTCTGGCATAAGTCAATTCTTGGCATTTTATGGTAGTTTGTTACTATTATGACAGGCACCGTGTTCACATATTATTTGCTATTTTCTTTAAAAGATATCTGAATTTAATGTGTGAACAGATTAAATACAACTGGGCATTGGTTAAGTAGTACCAATGCCCAGTTGTATTAAACTATTCAAATATATCATATACAGCGTGTAGTTACCACCGCGACAATAAATGTACGCACGCCTAGCGCTACTTGCCAATAATCATAAAAAAGTATTAACGTTAAAAATATCCATAATTAAAAAAAATATTTTTCAAATAAACTAATTAAGAAACAAAATTTGTAACATCCTATACAACTACAACTGACTGATTCATACATTCAGAGACTTTTTCATTCATTGCCATAGCGTCGCATTACAAGCCTCTCCTAAAAGTATATTTTGTCTCTTTTAAATTCATTCAACCCATTCATATGCTTTGTGACCTTTACAATTGAACTTTACATACACAGTTTTATACGTAAGGGTGTTCTAAAATTCTTTGTTTCGGAAAATTTAATAACTTGGTAAATATTGATGTTTAATAAAGAATGTAAATGTTTAATACAATTTATAAAGTTATCCTGTGTATGTGTGTTCATTTATCTATTGTCGCGATTGTAAAGACACGCTGTATATAAATTGAGACCAGAGTGTAGAAAACGCAGTAAATCCATTAAAAATATATTTCAAAGATATGTGAAGTACGCCAATTTGCAGTGAGGTCGCATGGTGGACTATGATCTTAATCCCTCTGTAGCGGGGAGGCCTTATAATTATTATAATAAATAAATATAAATGGGACATATATGTAAGCTGTAACTTAACTTTCTACTACTTTACTTTTTCTACTTTTTTTTTATTTTCACGGCAAGACCTCGCAAATTAGATATTTATACTGAAAGTTAAAAATGTCTTCTTCAATGTTTATACTTCTTCGTAGTAACTTAATCAACTACTGCAGTAGATGTAAGTGTACAACATTACCTGCATCTTCTAAAAAGAAGCCAAAATAAAAACATTATTATATTACAGAAAAATATCGCTTTAAATTTGTTTGCTTTGATTTTATAATAATGTATTACATACACACATATACATTTTATAATACAGCTTTTCAGTTACAGCTATAATGAGCGCATATAGCTGTAACTGAAAAGATAATACAGCTTTTGAGCGCGTAACTAGTGTTTCTAATAACGGTTTTTATGACAGTATCTTCAGCTCATTAATGAATCTTATAACCAATCTTTAATGGCCTAAAGATGTGATACATTTCAGCGCCACTGCACTGTGGCGGTCATAATAAACCGACTGTCGAGGGAGGGTAAGAATTTTCATGCGTATGTTTGTGTATAGGTATATCTAATTCTTTAACTCTCTACAACCTAAACGTTTTGACGGTTTTCAACATACAAGTATGAGGTGTCATTACATTCGTCACAGTTATGTGATTGGTACAGGGAAAATTTTCTGTATGGTCTCCGACAAAAAAAAAATAGAGGCATAGTTACTATATTTTATGAAGTCAGTTCTTTATTGCTTCTTAGATAATTATAATTGTTTACTACATAGCAGCCAGTCTTATGTAGTTGCCCTACATTTTTCATATTGGTTCATTTTAAACGTTCATATTGTTTCATTTTATATGTTTTGATACATTAATGCAATTATTACACGTTTGTAATGTCTGGGATATCCAGTTAAATTGAAAAGAAAACTTTAATTAAATCGAATTTTGAAATTGACGTGATAAATAATTAATTGTTTTAAGAGTTTTATATAAACAATGTATTCCCTTAATAATAATTACACCAGTGAAATACCCCTTTGCTAGACTATAACGATTGAAGTAATTATCTGGAATATAATGATTGTATTAAAGTCAAAACTAAATTTAAAAAAATGGTCAAAGTTAATTATAAATAAAATCATACCACTTTATAGCATATTGGCTATTTGTACTTTTAAAATGATTATTTTTATTTGACATTCGTTTATACTCATGAATATGTAAAACTATTTGTTCTCTTTTGAGATAGAGTTTTAAATATGCAAGTAAACTCTTACCAAAGACGACTTAACAACTTTTTTTTTTCTGTGAGAATGAGGCAAATGAGCTGGCGGTTCATCTGATGTTAAGTAATAACCGTCGCCCTTGGACATATGCTACACCCGAAGGGTTGCAAGTGCGTTGCCACCTTTAAATAAAGTGGGCCCCGGCTACCTCACTCACCAGACGAAACGCAGAAGTGTAACACTTCTATTTTACGCCTCTCTTCTGTGAGGTCGTGGTACTTACCCGGACGGACTTGATGACTCCGTGGCGCAGTTGCCAACGTATTGGCTTCGGCGTCGGGGTCGTGGGTTCGATTCCCACACGGGACAACTATTTGTGTGACCCACAGATAGTTGTTTCGCATCTGGGTGTTTGTCCACGTGAAATTTATGTTTGTAAAACGTCTTTACAACACGGGATAATTTTATCCTAAAGTAAGGGCAATGTTTTTTTAAAAAAAAAAAAAAAATAACTTACCCATTCGTGCAACAATGAGCACTCTTGCGTGGCCCTAAAGCAAAAAAAAAATAAAAAAAATATTGTAAATATTACCTCTTGCCCTCGAGCATAAATTAGAAAACTTTTCTAAAATAGTTAATTCTTACTGAATACTTAAAAGGCTAAGTAAACATTTTAAATTGAAGAACTTTAAATATGGCGGATATATAAATATATAAATAATTTTAAAATATACAAAATGTAATAATTCAATGCAAATATGTATATTATTGCATAGTATTGAGAGTTGTAATTATAAATGGTCAAATATAGTTATCATAAGTCATTTATTAACTAAATGGTGTATGGGTGACACACACTTAAATGTGTTAGAGACGAAATCTGAGTTTGTTTTTCCTTCATTACCAAGAATAATTGACAACTTAATGATTTTATGTCTGACTTGTTATATTCACCACAATCGTTAGATCATGAAAAAAATTGACTTATAAAATATTTGTCCAAAATTTTCAAAACAATGTAATTATGTAAATGCGTACTATTTTTTATTGCTCAATTATCCCATTAAATTTATTTAATTCAATTAATCAGTCAGTTTACAGTCCATAACACTAGAACTTCTAGAAAATTATTTTGTTTTTGAAGTATGAAAATTAATAAACACAATATTTAAATTCAATAATAATGAAATAATTTGGAACAAAAGAACTTAGTACTAGTACCTATAACTAATAATAACAGTGGCAAAATGTTATTAATATTAATACTCACACTATTTCCGCCCTGGAACATCGCCATTGGAAAGGACCAATTGAAAAACAATTTCAATGTGAAAGTAATATAGACAAAAAAGTCATGATTAATGCGATAACATTAACCTCTCTTTAGGCACGTGATCGTCCATTGTCGCAAATGGTTATAAGTGCGAGATCTTATAACTGTCACAGCGGCCGTGTTCGCGGCTTTTAGAACGAAGGAATTAACAAATTGCCAGCAATCAATAATCTAATGTTTACGGATACTCGAGATCCTTCAAGGATCCTTAAGGTCCTTTGATGTGTTGTGACGTTTTACTAATGGGCTGCTATTACTAAGGTCCTGTGGTGTTGCCGTGACTTTTGTTGCGCGACAATGGAGCCCAAACTCATGTTAATGAGCGTCATTTATTTTAATACTCTTTAAATAGAGGTTTGCGGTTGGGAATTGGCCCCGGACATTAATTTCGAATAAGTATTTAGTGGGTTCTCTTTGTAGTTCGTCTGACGTTTTTTTTAATAGCCAGAAGCTTGTCTTCACATAGATTATAATTGGAAACATTCCTGTTTAAATTGGTTACAATAATACGATACATATTGTATAATAAAAAGCTTCAATGTACAATTGTGTCCTATAATTTACACTTGTCTTTTAAAATTTTGGAACGATAATATTTTAAAGAAGTTTAGTGACGAAATGTATTTCATCATAGCTTTATGCTCGTTGCTTGATGACAGATAAGGTTTCTACAATAAGTATCCAAAGAATCAGGACTTAAAATGATTTACTGTTTAATTAGACGGAAATGAAACTCTATATTAAGTTAGGAAAGGAAAGATAATTGTAGATCAATGTGTAAGTAATTTATACTTGTCTTTTAAAATTTTGGAACGATAATATTTTAAAGAAGTTTAGTGACGAAATGTATTTCATCATAGCTTTAAACTAAACTTGCTTGAATCGGTCTCTACAATAATAATCCAAAAAATCAAGACTTAAAACTATTTACTGGTTAATGAGACGGAAATGAAATTCTATATTAAGTTAGGAAAGGAAAGATAATTGTAGATCATTATGTAAGGGGTATATTTTACTTTTTCTTCTGTGACGCGAAAAATCGCCAAATAATTGTGTGCCGTTAGCCAATTGTCTATTAATAGATTTTAAAGGATGCTAGATCATAAGTAGCATTCCGGGGAGTAATTTCAAAAATGTTGAAGTAAAGTAAAGTAACAGTCTATATATGTCCCACAGCTGGGCAAAGGCCTCCTCTGTACAGAGGGTATTAGGGCATAGTCCACGCGACTGCACTGCGGCTTGTTGGACTTTCTATATCTTCGAAATATATTTTTTTGTTATTGTTTCGAAAATATGCAGTTTCCCTTTCGATGTTTTCCCTCATCGCTGAGCACGTGATAAGATAATGAAAATGTTTGCATCGTTCTAAAATTTAAAAGGCTCGATATTTCGTATTGACATCATTTGCAAACGTTTAAAATTCTGACGAGCCAAAATTTAATATTTTGGCTCGTCAGAATATGTATATATAAGGCCCAAACAAATATCTTTGTTAAATATTCATGCGAAATATTTTTATATTATTAAAAAAATTGAGATAATATACTATAAAATAATATATAAAAAGGGCAGTCATGCATTTCTGCTGCCGCCATTATCTACATTTATTCCCTCATTTGCGAGGGTATAGGGGAATGTTGCCACTCTATATATATCAACCTGATTTTCAGTGATCATTCTCCTCCTGGACGTCTGCAACATTAAAGACCAACTAAGTGCCAACTTTGTGGAAAAAATTGCCCGGTTACCCAACTTAGCACGTAATAAACGAATCCGGTCTATGAGCCTCGGTACTTCCAAATTTCATCCATGGAACCAGTCGATGCGGCAGCTAAAGCTGATGCGTAGTTGTGGGATGTAGGTAGACTTTTTGCTGCTTCAACAACCTCGTGGTTACGTGCCGTCGTACGTGCGTGTGCGTACGTGCGTCTGTGTGTGTAAATAGGCCGTTTTAATTCGATAAAAAGCATGGCATCGCGCGCGCGTACTGAAAAAGGCTATTAGTCGTGAAGCCATCATCGCCGCAGTCTTTTTGAAGAGGCCGCATTAAAGTTATTGTGTCATTTAATAAGCGACATTAGTCTTGCGCCGTTGACAGCGCTGTCAATAGAGCCATAGGTAAATTATGTACATTGTGCGCGTCTTATTATAAACATGACCCGTGGGTCGCGTGACACGGAATTTAGTTCTTAGTTCAGCTGTGTGTCATAACTCCTCGCTTGGTATTACATAGCATGTAGGCGGAGTCGAGAATGTGGCAATCAATAAATCGCTCTGATTACAGAAACCGCTTATTTGTGGGATCTCGATTCGTTATAATCATTTTCGCACAAGTAGACGTCAGAGAGAATAATTTCTTTTATATTTTCGCTTAGTGTATAAAGTACAGCTGGCGCAAGAAAAGTTTAGCACCTCAGCATTTTCGAACCTACGTGTAATTATTAGGTGAAAACTAATTAAAATAATAAATAAATGTTAGTTCCAAATTAATTATATATAATTGTATTTGCACTCGTAAAAATGTCATGTTAATTTTGATGATGAAACCGTGGCGCAGCTACCAAGGTATTGGCTTCGACTTCGGGGTTAGTGGGTTCGATTCCCAAGGGAACAAATATTTCCTATGCAAAAAAGAAAAAAAAAAACTTTGTGTGCGAAACGGAAAGAAACCAATCAATTAAGCATACCACGTAAGTTTCGCCTGACACTTTCAAAAAACGTTTTATACGATTTTCAACAGCTTATCCATCCACTTAACTGGCCGTTTATGCAAAGGGAACGTGTCTCACCCGTCGTAATATATCGACGCGATTTAGCGTCGGAGGCAGCCGCGAGCCCGGCTTATCGCCGCGTGTCGTTGAGCGAGTATTTTTCAATGCCGCATAATAGTGGTACAGGGTGGAGATACGTCGGCGGGCGTAATGAGGCGGGACCACCGAGCGGGTCAGATAGCGCATGCGTCGCCAGATGGGCCCGCGATTAACGGACCACGGGACCACACATCGGCCGCAGGTAGCCCGTAATTCAATTCAGATTGTCATCGCGCCGATGACGCGATAGCGGCTAACGAAGCGAAGATGGAATGCCTCGGTAGCGCCGCGCCGCCGGTTCGCGGATGAGCGGATAAGACTGTTGTCCGTTCAGTTCTGGATTCGTGAATTGTTTCGGGGGTACAGGTTGCGGCGTCTTTAAAGGTCATTGGCATTTCCACCAGCGGGAAGCTTCGCGATAGAGCACGCTGTGCACCAAAGCAGTTATAAGTTTTATGATAAGAGTTGGTTAACGAGCTGACGGTTCACCCGATGTTAAGTACTTACCGCCGCCCATGGATTTTTACAACACCGTACGGATTACCAACGATTATAAGTGGGCCCTGGCTACCTCACTCACCAGATGAAAGTATCATACTTCCAGTTCATGCCGGTCTTATGTGGGGCCGTGGTACCTCCCCGGACGAGTCTGCCCATTTATGCAACAGCTGAAGCTTCTGCATGGCCCTACCATAGATAGACATTTTTTTAGTTTTATCATGATCTTTTCAAAGCAGTAGGGCGCCACTCAGTAGCCTCGGCTGTAGCACGAATGGGCAGGCTCGTCCGGGTAAATACCACGAACTCACAGAAGTCCGGTGTAAAGTGAAAGTATAATACTTTCGCGTTTCGTCTGGTGAGTGAGGTGACCGGAGCCCAATTTTCAAAAGGTAGTCATCGCATCTGGAACCCTCGGGTGTAGCAGAAGTCCATGGGCGGCGGTGTTCACTTAACATCAATTGAACCTAGTCTCCAGTATCGTCAAAAAATCTAGTTCCTGCTGACCCCTCGTAAGTGATGGTGTAGCCGGTAAACGCAAAAACACAAATGAAGGCCTAATCACTCTTGCCTTGTACACACCCAAGTCATAATATTCGTAAACTAATTAATACCCGATATGCGTTGAAGTGTAAATATTTTTCACAATAGCTTTTGTTACTAAGCTAATCTGCCTTCGCTTTAACGAAGGTTAGACTTTCGCGTTAGAGTGAACGACTCACCTGAGTTAACGTTGTTAGATTGATCGTAGTAGGCAAACAGGGATGTATAAACGAGAAAACAAAGAAAATTTTATTCGAAGGAGAATAGACAAACATGTTCAAGTTGTAATTTAAACTTCCTCGTTTCTTCTGGTCATTAATGTACTCGGCGCCTTTTCTAAAAGTTGACAACCCTATAGTTGTTAATGGTCTGGTAACACCAGTAATCATTTAATATAAGGTGAATTACCTGCTATGTTTCTATTTCTTTCCATATATAATGTTCAGTCTTTTATACAGACTAAATTAATAATCTTGGCGAATAAGTTATACTTTAGTTTATGGTTTAAATTATGACTTTACATAATAAGAAATTGTAAAACGACAAATATGATCGTTGAAACGATTATTTTACTTTAGGCTCAAAATATGTGATTCGATAAATATTGTATTTAATCACAAAAGTTAATAACTTCTCTAAATCAACAATTTTATATAAAACGAAATCCTATTAAAATTCCATTCCAGATTCCATTCCTTAATATAAATGGATAGGAGGAGAGAGGGCTGTGGCATATAGGCATGTAAGCATAGACGGCCTTCTCCTATTGGCTACGGTTCTGAAATGGGTTTAAGCCCCTTTGTAATAGTTGCACATATTTTACTTTATCCATGTCACATATTTTTAGTCGGATTGTAAGTTAAATAAGGCAGTAGAATTGTTAACAGATAATCAATATTCAAAGAATGTTACAATCTTGCTAAAGCTCGAATGTTCCTGTGCAATATGATTATATTACTAAACATTGAAGCCTATATATCGTTGGCTAATCAATGGTAGTTAGAAAACAATGTTCATTTGAAATATGTACGATTTTCAATTTCTTTCGGGTAACAAATTTACTGCCCAAACCAAACTCATTCTCTTCTCCCCTATAGGAAAAGAGTTTATGATTTAACTCTAGTCTTAATTATTACGATTAAATTCTAAGTTGTATAACAATAAATTACTCTTAATATATTCTAACGTTATTCTATTGGGTGCAAGAACATAATAAAATTACGTAATAAGCGTAGTGGTAGTAACATTGTATAAGTCCTACACAAAGGTACACCAGAAAATTATATCCATTAGTCCATACTTAATATTATAAATGCGAAATTAACTCGGTCTGTCTCTCTCGCTTTCACGCCAAAACTACTGAACCGATTTAAATGAAATTTGGTACACAGATAGTCTAGAGCGCGAGAAAGGACATAGGCTATAATATAAAAAAATGTTGTAAACGGTTGAAAGGTTAATGAAAGATATTTATTTAAGGGCTTCAACGCGGGCGAAGCTGCGGGCGAAAACCTAGTAGATTATAAACAAAAAACTTATAGTGACAAATAATTATTTGTGGTCTAAAATGTCTAACATAGTATATTCATTTAGTTTTATAAATATTAAATAATCGTATTATGCTCTTTTTTATTTAATCTTCTTACACAGACTAGTACAAAAGCGGACTTAATGCCAATGACTCTTAGCATGCAATAGAATAACATTAGAACACGATAAGGGTTTTTATACAACTTAGAGGAAAATTTTATTATAAGTTAAGGCTAGATTTAAATCGTAAATCTAGCTCAACTTATAATATAATCTACATAAATATACGTCCGAAGTGTCCAACTGTCTACTTTCAACCGTAGCCTGGATCAACGTGCGGACAACTCTGTTCGACCGCTGGAAATCACGGCCGGCCGACCGCACATACCAGACTCGACCCAACCGCGGACATTCGAAGGAATTCCTTCCCGGGATGGAACTATGTCCATCCCTTTCTCACACGGCCTCGATCGCGCTCCGCATTGAGGAGTGTGTTGGTAACTTATGTTCTATTTGCGTCTCCGCTTTATTCGCCTTCTCCAACATAGGATAACGGCCGACAGAGACATTGTTTAGAGACTAAATTATGATGTGGTTTTTTGAGTAATTCTCCGAGGCTAATTATATTCTGAAATATTTCTATTCAAGTATCATATTTTGATTCAATATACTCAAGCAACTTAAGTTCAAATCCCGGTGCCAGCACCATTGAAATTGATAACTTTAAGTGCTGATTTATCACGTCCTCATCGGTGAAGGAAAATATTGTGGGAAATTTGTATCTTATCGAAAAAGTAAAATTACCACCCACCACCTCTGCACAGAGCGTATTAGCGGCTCCACCAAGCGGCTCCACTACGGATTGGCAGACTTCACATATATTCGAAATGTTTTTTTTTGTTATTATGATTACGATGTCTTCCTTCACCGCTGAGAACGTGATAAGTCATCAATGAAAAGTAACAATTTCCTCGATGCCTGCCGGCACCGGGGATAGAACTCAGGTTGCTCGAGTATATTAAATTAAGAGCGAGCGCCCGGACAGTGCGCTATCACGGCTCAGAAAAATATTAATTCGAAAAGCCTTTGTTCAGCAGTGGGCCATATGGGCTGTTACTTTACTTCAAGTACCAGCGAAATCGCGGTTAAAATTAAAGTGATGTGTTTCCATGCGGTGCACATAAGATTTTTATCCGTAGAAATAGTTTACAGAATAAAAAACTGCCAGATTTGTCATTTTGGAGAAAAAAAAAATCAATAGCGTTGTCATACATTCATTATTAGACAGTTTTAAACGAAATTTTTAAAGAAAACATTATCTTGTCTATTTTTTCTCAATAGCGGCAAACATGGGCTTTAAAATGGTGTTAGAGTGATGAAGAATTATGGATATTACAGCATTCCGTCAAAAACATCTTTTGAAATAATCTGTAGCGATTTATCGTCTACTTAGTCACAACTTATGGGTGAAAAAAACAGAATATATTGTAAGTAGGGAAAGAAAGAAATGGTAAGAATGTTACAATCTTGCTAAGGCTCGAATATAACTGCCCGATATGATTAAGTTATTTAACTACTACCATCATTTTTAATGAAATTAAATAATTATCCAAAAAACCATAGCTAATACATTTTGCAAAGAAAATTCCAGTCACGTAAACAATTTAATACAATGTTTTCCCAAAGTCCTTGAACTCGATCGAGGCGCAAAGTAATTTCCTCGGAAGGAAATTAAGAAATTATTTTGGAATTAGTTTAGCGTTTACAATAGCACTGGTTCCACACTATATTGTTAGGAGCTTATTATTAACAACGTTCAATTTATCACATAAAGGTCGTACCGACATATCTGGCGTCGATCGAAATGAAATAATTGCAAAGGAAAAAGTTGTGCATTTGGCTAAATATGTCATTTATATTCTACAATCATTAAAAATAATTCATGGCACCATAATACCTTTAATTAGAAATATATAAATATTACGGCCATGGAACTTACTATCATTAATAAAAATGTCTACGATTTCTCCTAATGATCTCACTTTATGAAATTTAGATTTGGTACGTAACGTACCAACGTAGTTGTGGATATAGTCCGTAAGTGTAGCAAGCTGAAGTGGCAGTGGGCTGGCCACATCTGTCGTAGAACCGATGAGCGCTGGAGCAGACAGGTTCTCGAATGGAGAGCACGTCTCGGAAACCGTAGTGTCGGACGTCCCCCTGCCAGGTGGACCGATGACCTGAGAAAGGTCGCTGGTAGTGGCTGGATGAGGAAAGCGGAAGATCGTACTCTGTAGCGTACTCTTGGGGAGGCCTATGTCCAGCAGTCGACTGCAAAAGGCTGATTGATTGATTGATTGATTGATTGACGTAACGTACGTAGGTATAGTTAAAAAAGAATATTTACAGTATAATCGTACCCCTTGGTTGGTTTGATGATGGGAACGTCAAAAATGTGACAAAATCAAATCCTAATAACTGTACGGTTGTGTAACCTCTGCTGTATAATCACGAAACACGTTATTTTATTTAACGTAAGCATTTTAGGCATTCTGTCCTGGAATATTTAACGTAGGCATGTTTCTTTTAATAAACGGTTAAAATCTGTAGATAAGAAAGCTTAGGTTAAGCTAATTCAAATACGTAATAAAAAATATTTTCAAATATTTCGACGAATTATTTTTCCATTTATTATATAAATTGTATGATTTAATTTTCTTCAATGTTTATTAAATCGGTACAATCCACTTATTTAAACCCAAGTATTTATGTGGTACTGAAAATACACGAAGTATACTTTTCAACCATCAGTAAGTTTGAAATTAAACGAACAATGAGGTATAGGAGTGGATGAACTTAATTAGAGCCTGTAATCTTAGATGCCGTAAGCATGTATGTATGTGTGCAAGTTAAGCATGAAGTGGAAGAAAAAGAATGGTGTGTAATAAACATAAAAAGAGTAAATCGATATTCTTTGCATACCAGTGATATGTGAATTAACCTGAGATAGTTACAATCTACGTATTTTATGTATAATATGTCCACTGGCTGAAGGGTAGGCTTCGTGCCTTTATCTAAACTAACCTGCCGGCCATATCGTTAAAATACAAACAGCCAATTTACTAGCGGCAATTAATCAAAACAAAAAAGGAAGCTCGAGCGTGTACACGTGTAATTATTATGCACATTAATTAACACACCGTGCCCCGCGAGGTTGTTACTGCATAAATTATTCAAGTGCGGTCCCCTGGCACGCAACGCGCTACCTCATTCAGAACGCTGTATTAAAGTAATCATATCCTATACAAAGTTCATGTCAGAACATATTCAACGAGGGATTGTTCTTTTTTTAAAATAGTTAGGGTTTTCCAGAAATTATTTCTTATCTTAAGTGATCATTATATATTACTAAAAGAAATTAGTTAAACCGAATAGAGCATTTAATATCAATTTTTATTTTCCTGTTACCTATATTGGTATATAGTTATAACTAAATGTTATTTAAGGTTAAACTAAAAACCTCTACAGTTCTCACTAAATATTCTTTGACATTTCGCTAATCATGTTTTTTGTTCCGCAGCAAACGGCACTTTTCAACCAGGAATGGAACCGAAAAGGCAAAGGACGGCGTACACCAGACATCAAATACTCGAGCTGGAGAAAGAGTTCCACTACAATCGGTATCTAACGCGGAGGAGACGAATAGAAATCGCCCACACTCTAGTCTTGTCGGAGAGACAAATAAAAATATGGTTCCAGAACAGGCGTATGAAGTGGAAGAAGGACAACAAATTACCCAATACCAAAAATGTCAGGAGAAAAACGAACCCGGCGGGCGTCACTACGACAACGACAAAGGGAGCCACACCAAAGAGTAGATCAAATAAGAACACAAACAACAACGACAAAAAGAAAACGAACAACAATGGGCGACCAGATAGCATAGAGAACGTTACCGATAACATTATGAATGACTTACACTGCGTCGGAGCGCAGAATTTATCGCATGATCCGGCGATTAGTCCGATGACTCTTCCAGGCAACCAAATGGCCCCGGGACATCCGATGACGCCGCACCATCTGCACATGATGAGCATGCACGCTGGCATGGATCCGAGCATGGTCGCCAATCTGTCCACGCACGGTTCGCCAGTTGGAAATTCCGGTTGCGGCACAGGCATCAGCTCTGTCAATACGCCAGTCATCAAATCTGACTATGGACTTACTGCCTTATAATCCCCGATAATGTATAGAAGATGAACAAACTATATTTTCATTAATGAACTTTCCTCGTTTCTTACCATTCCCTTGTGTCGATAAGGTGTATTAAAGTGATTTAAATTTGTATTATTTAGGTTTTATTTTAAGTTTTAATATGTAAGTATAGATTAACCAGTCATTAATGGATGTTTGCATAGATAAGTGGAAAACTTTACAATGTCAAAAGTGTGATTATTTTAGTGTAGGTTTAGAGGTTTCTGAATTTGTACGGTTTATTTAAGTCATTGTCATTTTAAGATACCTACTATTTTAAGGCATTATTACTATTTAGTTTGCTTTAATGGTGTACAATGTTTAAATTAATTTACGTTAGTTACCAATTAATCAATGGTTTGATGTACACATGTTGTAAAATATAATATGACGAAAATATTTAATACGAACCACATAATTTTAAAATTGAAATATTTTTGTAGCAATCATATTGTAGTAACAATCTTACAATGGTATTTGTTCTATATTGTATTGCGTTGAATTCAAATTCTATGACTTCATTTTCAAAACGATTATTTTGAAGTTATTCTTGTAAAACTGTTAAAAATAGGGACACTTAAATTGTACTACTAAAAACTGTATGTAATTAGTCCGAACTCATTTTATTGTGTACTCGTATAGTGTAAATAAAAATAACGATTATTTGAAAATACACTTATGTGATCTAGACAATGACTTAGGTTTTGGTACAAATTGCAAGGTTTTACTTTTAAAATAAAAAAACAACAGTTTTGTAACTACAATAGAAGAGATGTGAATACAAAACCAATAAATATAGTATCGTATGGAAAGTTTCTTATGCATTTATTTTAACCTCAGCATTTTTATGGTAGCGGATAAACGGACTGCCTTCACCTTATAATAATAGTAAGCGATTAGCGCTGCCAATAAACATTTAAAGGGAAAGCGTTAAATATTGGTAATATTAGAAAGGTCTAAAAATCACTGCAGTTATGACTACGACACGTAAAATTATATACTACATATATATTTATGAAGAGAAGTTTTGTATCCCTGATGTTAATGCTTAAGCGAACATAAAAAGCCGATGTTGTGTGAGCATTTACCGATGATCCGTAACCATGGCGTCGATATCATAACCTTGCGCGATTCACATCGAATGAAACGAAAGCAAAAATCGTAATGTATTCGTTCAATGCGATGCCATCAATCAACGTCGTCGGCTCATTGTGTGGCCGCACGCAACTTGGATCTCCTACTTATTCCTTACACGAGCTCAGACGAATATCTACGGAGCAGTTTTATCATTTCGATACAAAGCCACGTCGCTACGTTTTGTGACTTTTTGTTTGTCTTTTTTTTAAACAACAACATGTTCGAGAGTGCGGTGATACGATTACAATTTCTCTTTTATTTCTCTAGAAGACCATACAACAATTCTGTTTGAAGTTTTTGTCTCGATTTTTTTTATTACGACTACTTAGAGCGTCGGCACGCTGCGCTTATATTAAATCAAAGGTGATCTAAATTTTTCCAAATTAACCGAATCCAGCCTTGTCTGGTACCTATATTAGTAATGACTATTTTCGTAGTAGACACTGTAAGAATTTTGCACGTCAACTAAATTAAGAAAAGCAGCTTCCTTATAAAACAAGGTCAATAATTAATTAAATTATTCTTGAGAAGGGGGTGACCAGGTTTTCAAAGTAGATGTGACGTTTTAAAGGCAAAAGTAATACACGTACTTAATGACAAAATAAATAACTTTCGTGAGACTTATAACAGCTGAATCCAATCGGTGTATGGAACGACTAGTTTCGGACGTATCGTAGGTCCTTTATCAGGGTGAGTGGGATGGGTTTGGGATCGCGTCCCATCTCGCGATCGTGTCGTTCCATCTATAATATATATAATATATATTATAGATGGAACTATAATATATATAATATATAATCTCGTCTTTCTATAAGGCGAGATTATGTATATCTGCCGTAAATAAAACAGGCAAACTTCAAGACGTTTGATTTCTAGAAAAATTTGAATGTATGTAACATTCGATGACAATATTGTGATGTGATGCATTCGTCCAGAATACTTCCTTCATCAGAATCATCTAGATAAATGACAGTAAAGTAATTTTCTCTTTTATGAAATGAAAAAAAACCTTTAAATAATTAATTATGCTTTAAAAACACACGTTCATAGCAAATGGAATAAAAAATTTAAGTCATTGTTATTTGGTTAGCCAGTTAGTTACTTGTTACTTAAGTGAATAAAAAACAGAAAAAAAAAAGCGAGTTAATGAGCCGACCCGTAACAAAACAAATTTAATCTCTAATATTTCTCTTAAGACAATTGTGAATAATAAGCGAACAGTTCACCCACTTTCAAAAGGGGCTCTTAAAAGGGCTTGGGAATAAAAAAGAGGCGACAAAAACCTAATCCTTTTGGCAACGGCTACGGAAAGAGTTAAAATTTCTTGCTAATTTCGCTACAGGAGCAACAAAAAGTGTTTTTGTTACGAGATTTGTATGCAAATAACAAGATTTCGCTACCGTCTGTATTTGAAGGATTTATTGGGCACGTTTTCGCCGACTGCCAATTGTCTGTTGTTTCGAATATCCCAGGAGAGATTCAATATTGTCGGCGTCTTACGGTAGCGGTTAATGTTACAGTTAGCCGCCTTTCATGATGGAATTATCACGAAGGCCAGTAGACTACGAAGCACAATGGTATCTGTGGTTCATAGCATTTGTAACGTAAAGTCAACAATGTATGAAGTAACTGTTTCTATGTCCGATGACATTTTGAATTATTTCATTAAATTATACCTAGCTATTTAATTTTATTTTTATTTAAGCTGTCCGTATTTAATGTAATTTTGCTAATACTCGTGAGGACAAGACAGTGATATAAGTCAAGTTAGTTATACAGTCTCAAAATGGAAGTCGATCAGAATGTATGTGTTTGAATGGCGTAAATAATAAGACGGCAGATGCTTCGGTGATACAGATAAGATATTACTGAATTAAATATTTATAAACTTTACAATACACCACAATAAAGTCTGTGGGGGAGGCATAATATGTTCAAAAATGGACAAGAAGAGGCCGAAATGATGATGATAACAATACAATATACTTTATTAATTACACAATATATTTAATGAGATAAAATGAAAAGTTATTATAACGGACAACCGTCATCTTTAAATCACGAAATTTAGTGACAATGTTAGAATTTGACAGGCTTATGATAAAATATTGAAATTTGAAAAACGGCTTAGGGTTTGATAATGGAAATTGTCTGCAAACGAGTATAGCAAAGAGAGCGTTCTTTTATGGGAGAATTTTTCTGGTAAAGATATATTTTTTTATGTGAGCTGACGGTTCACCCGGTGTTAAGTGACAACCATCCCCCAATGACATTTGTAACAGCTGTAGGGTTGCCACCTTTTAATAAAGTGGACCCCGGATACCTCACTCACCAAACGTTAAACTGAAGTATAACACTTCCACTTCACGCTCCTCTTCTGTGAGTACATGTTGCTTACGGACGGACGGATCTGCCCATTCGTGAAACAACGTTGCGTGACCCTACCACAGTTGGATTATCAATCGCACGTGATTTTAAAATATTACCGGCGCCCGACATCTACAAATACTTACTTCTCTACCAAATTCAAATACTCTTCAAACACATTGACCTCCGGTTAAAACAATCACAAGAATAAAGGCAAAAGTATAACACTTCCACTTCACGCTGGTCTTTTAAGAAGCCGTGGTAATTCGGCGGAGGAGTTCATTCGTGCAACGGAGGAAGCTGTTCCGTAGGCCAATGACTTGGCCCGTATATAAGTAAAGTAAAACGCTGTAACTAAACTTCTCTTTCGGTTATTTACTATTTCGGTTTTGAATGAATTTTTATTTCGTGGGAGGTTACTTGTATATAATCAACAAGTTCGATTTCAACAAAGTGTCTATTATGCAATAACACAGCAAGGGGAAGATGTTTCTTTTTAGATTTGATATTTATCTTTAAACTACTTAACTAAGCGTAAGAGAAAAAATGGAGTATGGTTGTAAGAAAAAATTATATTGATACTTGTATAAATATACGTTAGTCGATAATAAACATACTTTGATGTAAAAATAAATTTATAATTTTATTAAGAAAAATAGGTATAAGAATATTGGTAATAGTAAGAAATAAACAAGTAGTCAGTCATGAAAATCATTAAGTGCCTGCCTCAACGGAGCGACTTAAAGTTAGAAAATACGAGTACATGTAACTAAGACATTCACAATCTTTTTGTCGGCATCTAAATTAAAGTAAAACACCCTCAGGGATTTTTCGCTACACTGGAAACAAAAGACAAGCGGTAAAGTAAAAGCTCCTATCTATTCGAGTTCGACTGACAGGTGATGCCCAGGCGATTCCCGAAGGAGTTCCGAACCCGTCCCATAGGGCTGTTTAAAGGAACTAGTGCGATGGATCCGATGACTGGCTAACTTAAATTGCTGTTGTTGTACTTACACACGAGAAATTTATCGGCAAACGCGTAATTTTAGTCAAAGAAATTATCAAAAACCGGTTGTATTAAATTAATAAATTTCTAATTAAATCAATAAACTATTTCTACTATATATATAATCAATAAACTTCTAATTACTTTATTCAGCGTAAAAAAGCTTAACCGTTACGACCTATGAGTAGGACCATGTGTTAAATTATCTATTAATCTACCTCAATTCTTAATTTCATAAAAAGGAAATACATTAGAAAGAGAAATACATTAGAGTATTAAATAAATAAATACAATATACGTCATATTGATAAATAAGTGAGATAAAGTTTAGAATTTTGGCAATTTTAAAAATATAAAACGTGAACATAGGGGCTAGGCAGTCAGCGATTCCTCTGCACCAGGAAAATCACATAACAAGCCACTTGTAAGAAGTCTGAAGCCGGGACGACAAATTTCAATATATCGTCGC